CGCTTCCCTCCCCGCCTCGTGCCTGCACCTCCCGGTCCGTCCTTCGGCCTCCGTCTGCTTTCTCAGGAGGCCCTTCGAGACGTCAGCGTCAGTCTTCCATCACACACACACAGTCGCGCCCATTCTAAAGGCCGTGGGGCATCTCCGTGGGCAGTCCCCCCCTCACACTGGGACACACCCCTGCGCCAGGCACCCGGGAAGGTGGACGCAGGAGCAGGCCCGGGGCCCTGGTGGCGAAGAGGGCGCCCGGGAAGCCTGAACGCTGTGGCCCGGGAGAGACGATGCCGCGGAGCCCAGGGCCGGGAGCCTGTGCTGATGCTGGCGGGAGGCAGGGGGGGACACGCCGCCGCCTGGAGACCGGACAGTGGCTCCTGAGGGCACCTCCGGCTCTCTGGGGGTGAGGACAGAAGGGGTCAGCGGTGCAGGTTGGAGGGCCGTCCGGGGGGGGCGACGAGTGCACAGCCGGGCAGACAGAAACGCCTTGTAGACGCACGTCCTCAGGCTGACCAGTGGGCCAGGTTCCAGAAGCTTCCACTTGAATATGCTCACAGCTGAGAAAGGTTTTCTTTAATTTATTTTGTTGTGTTTTAGGGGAAGGGGGTGGTGGCGGTGAAAGCTCGCCTCGGGACATGACCGCTTTCGGGTGTCCCTGCTGGACATGGCCGCAGCAACGTGCTGCAGACAGTCCCAACTACGGTGTCTGGTCGGGTCGGTCGCTGTCCGCTCGGGGCGCGTCCCACCCCTGGGAAAGGACCTTCCGATTTCATCACGCAGCCTACACCAAGACAAAGACAGCGTCTGCTGGCCGCTCTGCTCGGCTCAGACCTGTTCCGCTCCTCGCATTTTCCTTGGCTCGTCGGCATGTGAAGCGCGCGAGGCGGTCAGAGCCCCGGGGAGAATCCCAGGGGCCGCCAGCGGTGGCTCTGCGTCCATCTGTCAGCCGCCACGCTGCACTGCAGCCCCGTGACCCCCCACGGCTCACCTGGCCTCCGGGCTGGAGACGGTTGCCATGGCGACTGGCCGCTGCAGTGAGGTCACCGAGGAAACGGGATAAAAGCAACAGCAGCAGCATTCAGAGTGGCGGCCAGGCGCAGCCCCAAAGGCACCCCCCAGAACCAGCAGCCGGGGCGCAGCCAAGGTGGGTGGGGAGAGCGGGCTGAGGCCAGGCTCCCACCCCAGGGCGCGTCTCCCCACACAGCCAGGTGCTGAGCTCCCAGGACGCGGGAGGCGTCTGAGTACGGAAGGAAGGCTGTGCTTTCGCGCAGGGCACGTGTCAGCCTTCGCTCCCCTTTGCTTCCGAGAGGCCCAGGCAGCTTCCAGGCCGGGGTCTGCAGCTCCACGGTCCGGGCGACAGGCGTGCGATGGGGGACGGCAGCGCTGACCGCCGCCGTGCGGAGGAGAAGCCGTGGCTGCCCAGGCTGAGAGCTCAGCCTCCGTCACGTGAAGCCTCCCGAGCGCGCACCCTTGCAACACACTGCAAGAACTGAGGTTGCGCCAGGCGCCTCGCGGCGGCTGGGCACCGCC